AACTTCTCCAGAAAAGTAAGATCTCTGAGGTCGTAATTATTTGTAACATTTTAAAACAGGAAACATTAAGATAAAAATGTTAAAACTCAAGCAAAGATGTGTGTAATTTTTTCTCTAATAAACTGGCTAGAAACTGCAGTGACAACATTGGGAAGATGTGCATTCAGTAGAGAAACCTTGGAATGTGTGGAAATTTACTTTTAAAGGAGACAAGGTAGTATATTGACCTTGCACTTGCTATTGACACCTAGCCCTGTCTTCAAACAAGCTTGCACGGCCTGACCTCTAAGCTCTATTATCATGTGTTTTCACCAACCCTTAAAGATATGCTTTCCAAGTAAAAAGCACATTTCTAGGGAAAAGGGAGAGGGTGATGGCATTATACATACAATTAAGTCTGGAAATAACTGGACACTGACACAAGTTTTGTTATTTTGGCTGTTTACCAAAACCAATTCAAATTTCAGTTAAATAAAGAATATGGGCTTAAAGTGCAGTTTATTTTAAGGGACCAACAGTATTTGGGCAATTGACTCAAATGCTGTTTCAGGGACGGATGTGGGCTATTCCTTCATTATTATTAATCACAATTAATAATTCTTAATAATCCATGAAGCAGGCAAAAGGTCTGGAGTTGATTCCAGGTGTGAGATTTACATTTGGAAGCTGTGAACCCACAACATGCATTCAGAGGAGCTCTCTTTGAAAGTGAAACAGGCATCCTTAGAGAGATGGCAGGAACATTAAGAATATCAGTTTGGTACATTCTGAGGAAAAAACACAAATGAGCTTTTCAACACAAAAAGGCCTGAATGTCCACAGAAAACAACAGTGGTAGATGATCGTAGGATGCCTTCCATGCTAAATAAAGACCCCTTCATAACATCCAGCCAAGTGAAGAACACTCTCCAGGAGTCCAGTAGGTAGGCATATCATTATCTAAGTCCACTATAAAGAGAAGACTTAATGAGAGCAAAAACAGAGGGTTCACCACAAAGTGCAAACCATTCATAAGCTTCAAGAATAGAAAGGCCAGATTAGACTTTGCCAAAAAATATCTAAGAAAGCCAGCCCAGTTCTGTAGCCACATTTTTGGACAGATAAAACTAAGAACAAACTGTACCAGAATGATGGGAAGAAAAAAGTATGGAGAAGGCTTGGAGCGGCTCATGATCAGAAGCACACCACATTATCTGTAAAACACAGTGGAGGCAGTGTGATGGTGTGAGCATGCATGGCTTTCAACAACACTGGGTCACTAGTGTTTATTGATGATGTGACAGAAGACAGAAGCAGTCGGATGATTTCTGAATTTTATATGAGATGCAGCAGTTCCAGGAGAGCTACACACTTAAAAATGTCTGCCTGTACTGTTATCATCAATCTTACCATCATCAAAGCCTGAGTACCTACCCAGCACCCACCCAACACAGGTTTCTGTAGGAACGGCAGTGAAGGGGTGACAATGCATATCTGCATGCCAAGAACAGGATGACCAAGCAGTGACTTGGCTTTATGTCATCGCATGGTTTTACAAGGCCTATTTGCCACTCTGAACTTTAAGGAGTAAAAAATGACCAGTACTTAAGTGGTTAAACAATGTTACAGTTGCCTCAGTGCAATATTACTTCATGTCTTAAAAATTAAAACCAGGGCATTGTTTATTGCTAGGCGGGTGCTAGTGATGAAGGGGATGTCTACAGCTTGTCCGGTGGTATAGGAAGTCGGATTGCCTTTTACATTTTGAAAAATTAGCTTATCAGCATAGAGACAAAGGAGTCAAATTTCATATGATCTGGGACAAGTGGCTGGACCATAAACCCTTTACAAATGCATCTGTGTACCCCCCCACCCTTTTTTTTTGTAGAGTGTATGAGTAATTAATTTTAGGTGGTAGAGTTTTGTGAGTATTTAGAGGTGTATGTAAGATGGTATTG